AGGGAGGTCGATAAAGTTTTGCACGGGCTACTTTCTATCTATAATTCTACTCTAGTAACAAAATAAAGAAAAAAAGTATGTTGCAAGAGTTTTTTTAGCGACATTTAGTATCGTACTTTTTTCTTCCTCAAAGCCAATCACAAAAATCTTGTTTTCTATGTTTTTTGAAGTTCAGGGTTTGCTCTTTCAATTAGAAAAAGAATGAACTTTCTGCGATGTTCCTGAGCGGAGAACCATGACTGGAGATTTCCGCAAGTACTTTTGCATCGTAGGTTACTCAAGCACCATGGCCATCTCAATACATTCTATCCCGTAATCAATTACTATATAGCCTAAGTTTGTCAGAAATCAAAATCGGACCTCAGATTTGTGATTAGCGCCGAAGACTGGGTTGATCAGCATTTTTCGAAAGATCTTTTGTAAGACTTCCTTGGTCAGAAGTATAATTTTGATGCTGGGTCTCATACTCATTTCTGTTCTTCGGCGCTATGTAATACATAGAGGAGCTATGTTCAAGTATCCAAAAACGAAAATGATCGAAATTTTCGAATTTCTACACAAAATCCAGAAGACAGTAATTTCGGAAATTTGTGAGAAATTTCTTTCCAGTGGTTCTCAAATTTTCCAAATTTCTAGGAAACTTTTCTCCCATGGGTCCATGATGTCCAAAAATGACGATTTGCTGAAAAAGATCCATCCACATCGTTAAGTTGTAATGGAAGTAGATGAGTTACGATAAACAACAAGTTTGACAACAAGATCTCAATTTTCAATTTCTCGAGAAACTCATCTCAGTTTTCGAGAGCTTGTGGAAAATCCATTTCGGTTTCCTGATGCTCGAAAACCCTTTTCTATCTGTTTCTAAGGATTCGATTTTTTGTTCGAGAGTATTCAACAGTTAAGATGGATAAAAACAATGGAGAAACATAACAATAGGGAGAAAATAATTTCTCTCTAATCTAAATACTACCCAACCTTCTGGATCTAGGACTGGATTTTTTGAGATGCTATTTGGAAAGATGAAAAGTGATATTGTTAAGTTTAGATTGATGATTCAATATGACGAGGGATTCTTTAATTAGAAGATGGTAAGCATGGTCGGCATTCAAAAGAATTTTACGACCGTCCCAACTGATTGTACGATTTGTGTCTTGAATGTGTCAAAAGAGAGCAGATTTATTTTATTTAGTAATAGAATTAGAAATATTCTTTCACGGAGTGCAGAAGAGATTTTGAATTTTTCCGCTATACGAGCAGAACGTCTTAAATTTGTCTGATTAGAATAAGGTGCAACCTTCATTCTTGATCTAACCTTTTTTTTCGATCCTGAACAATCCTGTGTAGAAAAGATCTATTATTGAAAGATTTTGCAAGACTTCAGATAACAAGGTCACTTTTCACACAACATACAGGCACGACAGCGCCAGAATGAAGGACAGACAAAATATTTATCTTCTCTTGAATAGCTTAAGTATTTCTATCACATGAATTTACATACTATTTTTATTCATTTTATTCTGAATACAAATAGTGCTACTCAATAGGAAAGAAAGCTCAATGACTATAGTGGCTAAAAAACATGTAAAAATGAGTATTCTGATGAAAACATCATGGAAGATATTTGTTAACGAATAATATTCATAGTGCAGAACTTGTAATATTTTGATCATGAAGAAACAAAGAATAAATGAATATATCGTTAATACCTATTCTCGATATTTCATAAGATTATTTGTTCGTATTTCGCTTCTTTGTGGATATGCATGAGCAAGTCTAAAGCTTTCTGCTCAAATGCGAACACCGTCAGATTGTTTGTTTACACATCTGCTGACGCTTGAAACGTAAACTTATAGGAGTGCTAACTCTAACTTTCGCTAACAATGCCTTTTGTCTCATGGATATGCATGAAAAATTTTTTTACATGTATTTGCGTTTTGAAACAATCAGATTTCTTTACATAGTCAAAAATATCAAGTTTTATTGGGGAAAGTCGAGAACATTCTTTCTCTTTGACATCTCAACTTATTTATCCTATTGACAGAGTAATAGAACAGATTTGCAAAGTGGATATACAAAAAGGATTAATCATCATCTGTCTCTGTTTCATCATCATCTGTCTTGACTTTTTTCTCCGTTTCAATTTCTTCATTTAGTTGCAAGAGTTTGACTAAATCTTCTGATGTCTCCGCATGCTTTCTCAAGTAGTGTTTGATGCGGTCGTCGAAGGTTTTCCCTGTTTTCACTGTTTCTTCTAGTAGTTCCAAATATTGTTTTTCTTTTGTGCACGTATAGAGAACGGCAAGGCAAACTTCACGAATTCGTTCATTCTTAATTCCGTTCATTAACGAACTTTTTGTTTCTCCGTCATCTTCAAAGAGAAATTAATACCGATACTTAGTCTTGTAGCCAAGAAAGAGACTTACTGATAAAAGTCGCTAGTGCAATGCAAGATTCCACGACTAGTCGTTCTGTTGAAACAGGCCTAAAAATTTTATCATCTGGATCTCTATCGTCGTTTCCTTCAGAATCTTGTAAATTCATTGTCTGTCCTAAGAGTGGAATTGCCCTAGTATCACCCAGTTTAGCAAGCGCGTCTGGTATGTGCATCGGAAAAATCCGAATCTATTATTAACGACAAAAAAATAAAGTCAATTTTATAAAGTAGAAAGCGTCTATAACTTACGTCTTGATGTATAAGATTTTTTAATACTTCAAATAATCCGTTGTATTTCATTCCAGCCAAAGCACTCGCTGCTCCCTTTATTGTACATACACTCTGATGATTGCTAATAAGATGCATCAAAATCTCACCGACGAACGCTCTTGCAGGACCCTCATAAGTCTGACCTCGTTTTTCTAGCTCCTCAAACGCTCTACTTTCTGGCATTCCATGATAATGATAATAGCAAATGGCGGCTAGAAATTCTGTTGACCGCTTGGACGTGTCTTCAGTCAGAGTAGTCTCGATGCATTTCAAGGCCTGCCCTGACCTTAACGCCTCTAAAATGCCAACATTTTCGGCGTCATATTCAATATTATGACAAAAGTTGGGGATCCATGAATAAAACTTGAATTTTTTAATCGACTCTTCGACATTAACTTGGTCATTTCATTCTTTGAAATAGGCAGCACGCAATTCGTAAGCCTTAGCAAAATTTGGCTTGATTGAGATAAGTTGTTGAAGTCTTTGATAAGCCTCTTCTTTTCGTTCTTGTTCCCATAGATAGTCAGCAACTTTATAGAGCCATAGTGGATTATTATCATTCTATTTTGTTTAATAAAAACAAGATTGATCAAATTTTTGTATGACTTCCACCTATGCCAGACATATGCTCTGGCTGCTTAGAACAATAAAGCCCAAGCGAAAGTTTGTGCGGTAGTAAAATTTTCAAAGTTTCATCTACAATCGGTGTTTACACATAGCTCGAACTATAGTTAAAAAATAAACTATTAAAACGGCCACTGTGCTTAATAATATTAGCTCTTCAGTGATGCCTATCGTTAAGTGGTATTGAGGCAATTGGGAGTATAACGAATAGTCAATAGGCCTGTAGCACATCCACCGATGCACTTTTGGTTGTGGATAACGGGTACTCCAGATTAAACTGCAGTTTTCTGCAATGAGCTTTTTCTTTGGAAGCTGCAACAAATCAAGTTGCTGAGACAGTAAATCAGAAAAGTCTCAAACTAATTTTTTACCTGGCTCGGTTTACTTCGAAAATTTGCTTCTGACGATGAAGAAAAGTAGAGAATTTTTTCGTAAATCTAGGTAGTGTGTTTATTCTTTACATACTTGTTTGTGAAGGTTTGTAAAAGGCGAAATATCGGAAAAGACGCCTCGGATCAATGAAATAGCACTTCTCGCGAAGCTGTTCTGAAGAGTATGTCTTTGAAAAATTATTTTTGTCGTATAGAAAAGGCAATTTTCTTTTCAGAGGCGTATCCAGTTTTTAGTGTCGTCTTCAGATGGCGAAATGAAACTATTAAACCACTAAAAATTGCATTTCAACCCAAGGAGAAAAAAAATATCGACTATCGGGCGATCTAGCTAGCTAACTCAATATACTACCCGATATACCTAGCTAGCAATTCGAATTGGGTTATTTACTATCGGGCGATATAGCTA